CTACAGTATTGTATTTCTTTTTCACCCTCATATTACTATTATACATACGTAAAGAAATTAAGCATATTTGTTATGCCTAGAAAATCAGGGCTGACATGAGCTCATGCCAGCAAGGGCCAATCAGAGTTCAAGAAGGCTTTATGATGTCTAGACGTTGCCACGTCGCGCAAGGACGGAAGAGGTAAGGCTATCGTCAGTGCGACAGGTGAAAGCCAGGCTTGTGAGTGGCTATGAATTGTCCACCTGCCCAAGCCCTACGCAATTTAAGGATGTCTCCCGTGCAGACAACCAATGGGAAGCATGTTAGGAATTATACCACACCTACCCGACTGCAGAATCATGATTACTACCTTGAATCCCCCAATTATAAATAGATGGCTCATCTCTCATTTACGGGATTGACTCATCTTTAGTCTTCAGAAGTATATACTCTCTCTCTCTCTCTCTCTCTCTCTCTCTCTACTTCAATTCTCAGGAGATTATAATTCAGCTCGCTATACGCGACCTGACTATAACCACCTATTAATACAACCATAGTGGATATAGGATTCGCTTTTGAGCGTCCGAACCACTTTAAAAACTGCTTCTCGTATATTCTTTCATTGCAAATTTTCGTATCACGTGTAATTTCTAAGTCCACTTAGCACTTTGCATGTGTGAGTCGTTAGTGTCAAAATCAAGCATCAATAGTTTGACGCTAAAAGGAGGGCACTGATTTAGTATCTGCTCTTCATCAGAAACCTCTAACCGATCAGTCCTATCCATCGGCAAATGGCTCGCAGTTTCAAAACTGAGCAAACCAACCTCGACAATGAGGAAATCCCCTGGGTACAAGATGACACTTCTCCCGAAGTGCTGCTAATCTAGCAGAATACCATGGCGAATATTCCTTTGAGCTTACAACTCGACCCAACCATGATTAATTACCTGGAGAGGTTTAACAATACTCTCCAAACGGTTAGCCAAAGGTTAGACCGTTTGGATCGGGTCGTATCACCAGAGTCTAATGAGGTGGTGTCACCACCAAAGACGCTTGCAGGTCACGTGAAAGCGCAAAAAAAGGTGAAAGCTCATACCATGCGCACTGCAGTGCGTAAAAGTAAGGGAAAGTAAGTGGCAAACAGTGGACCGAAGGGCTCCGAGGAACTAGCGAACACCGGTCGCGCAACGGGTAGAATATCTGTGGCATTACGACTCGATGACATGTCGTAGCATGAGCCGTCCCATGCCATGTCACATGGGCACTCCCATAAAAGTGCAAGGCAGGGAGATTTCCAATATCGCTGAAATGATGACCTCGACCATCATCATGCGGGGAAACCCCTGTCGTTCGCGGGTCGGTTCTGACTATCGCGAAGGTCGGGAAAACTCCCCGAGTCATTCAATGCCTTCACACGACCCCAGCCAGCGTGTGTCAAGATTCGCCAGAGCTTCTGGCCGAGTTGAGGCAAATCCGATTTGCGGCCTTTCCTCTACCGCAACCGCGAGGGTCAAACCCACGTTGCGGAAAGTGATCCTCAGGTAGCTCCACTACCTCAGATTAATGAATTACAGCGAGCTTTGGATCAGCTTAAGGCTCAGCAGAATGAGCATGGGAAGGTCGCTGAGACATCTCCCTTTTCTCCAGTAGTGTTAGCTGCTCCTCTCCCGTCGAGATTCAGAATGCCCGACATGCGGGCGTTCGATGGAAATTCTGATCTGTAGGATCACCTTTACGAGTTCAACGACCTCATGGAACTCCACCAAGTCTCCAATTTGGCCAAATGTCGCTGCTTAGCAGGAACTCTGACTGCCCATGCCAAGCGCTTATGGCAACAAATGAGCTCGTCTTTCTTGAGATACTTCTAGGTGAAGAGGAAGTTCTCGATGCCGTTGAGCTATCTAAGCAACATACGGCAGGAGAGGAATGAATCCCTACAGTTTTACATAAACAAATTCCACAAGGAACTCTACAAAGTAGCTCACACTCCTGAAGAGTATGTTCGAACTCTCATTATCGCAAGGGTTCGCCCGCAAACTGACTTGTGGAAAGAATTGCAATCTAAGGATGATGTTTCCCTCACTCGCTTCTACAACCTCACTGAGAAATATCTTCGAATCAAAAATTTTGTGGCCGCCCTCAATCGCCACGACCTCGGTCCTTCAACCAGTGCTCCCGACCGGGGGGAGAACAATAGAAGGGCTGATCGCAGATGGGCTAATGATGATTAGCGGAAAGGAAAGAAGCAGTGATTCAAGCCCAAAAAATCTTATGCCTAAGTTCCTCGTCGCGATCGCGACAAAAGTCAGTACACTCCTTTGAATGCCTCGGTGTTGACTATTCTGGATAAGTCAGAGGAGGCCAGCCTGCTCGGAGAGCTAGAGCCCATGAAGACTCTCCCCTCATCCAGGAACAACAAAAAGTACTGTCATCATCGGGATAATGGGCATCACACCAATGAGTGACAAGCTCTCAAGCAAGCAATTGAAGACCTCATCAAGCAGGGGCACTTCAAGGAGTATGTTGATGGTTCGACTCCTGTTCGGGAAAATGATCAAGAGGAACATGGGAAGAAGCATCATGGTCGCAAGGGTCTCTACTGTATAGGGCCACAGAGGGGTCATATCAAAATATTAAAGTTAGGAAAAAATTATAAATATCAAAAATCTTTATTTTGATGCATTATTTTACGGGGTTGAAACATCAAAGCGAAATTACAGCAAAAATTATAATAGTTTACTATAAAAGCTAGATAAATCTTTGAATATTTTATGAGTAATGATACACTCACAACCTCTTTTCAGAATCCTGACGTGATAGCTCGCAATTGGTCAGCCGCAATTTATTAGGTGGAACCCATTACGAGCTGTCACGTTGTGAGAGGAAGTTTGTAAGAAGTGGTTGTTGGTGTAGCATTTTTCATATTTTATTAGAAAAAAAATTATTATAGTTTAATTTGGAGTTGTTAATTGTGTTGGCTTAATAACTTGTTCATTAGTAAATTTTCTTGGTTTTGTTTTATACTAGTTAAAGATTTATTCTATATCGTCAAACACAAACAATTTTTGTATAACTTATACCCAATTTATTATTTATTATAAGTTTATTTATAATTGTACGCCCTAGAATGAGTTTCTGGTTCCGTAGCTGGTTGCTCTCTTCTCTCAGTATGTATGTAAAAGAAAGAAGACCTCTCTGCCCATAGGGGCGTACATGAATGAGAAAGAGAGAGTGTCCGACAGCCCCTTCACTTGGGTAAAAAATCCGCTTATATAGAGTGTTACAATAGCAAACTTGTAAGGGTAGTTTAACTTATTGCCAATCCATAACTACTTGTCACTTGTCAGCCTATAACGTATGAATGGGATTAGCTCAAGGTGTCATGCAAATCCTTGGGACTTGCGGTGGGAATCCGTGCTCATTGGATTTCCCCCACAACAACTATAAATTGCATAACACAGATATCTTTCTTTGTGCTTAATCTTCTCTTCCACTTTTTAAGGCTGAATAAATCAAGGAAAGATCGTCTCTCAAAGTCAGTTGACCCCAGTTTTCACAAATGAGTTCACATTGTTCCACATGCCTTAGCTGGGTTAGACGAAAGAGTTCTGAACTGCATATTTCATTGAAAAATCAATCCCTTCATACCACTATCCAAAAGAGTAATTCTAAGTTCTAGGATACTTGTTACAAGATATATGTTATGTTATGTTATGCTATATCAAGTAACATTAATAGAGTTTACTAACCTTCGAAGTTTGAATCATGGTCTACAAGATTGAACATGGTTTCTTGGACATCACATACTTCTGGTTGTTACTGTTACCGTACTTGTGGCATTATATATATATATATATATATAGACGTAAAAATCTACTGGTACGGAAGGAGGGATTGATCCTGTGAGGTTGAGGCCACTAGCAATCTGCTGTACCTGCACACGTAAAGAAACACGCGTGAAGCAAAGGAAAACACCGGGGTGGTGTTTGCCGTAGGCACTCCGACGCTCAAGTCAGCAAGGCTGAAAGAGGCTAATATAGTGAGGGCTAGGGAGTAAAGGGGTTACCGGAAGTCTAGTCGGGGACTATGACTACGGCTATGAGGTGGAAGTTCTCAAGCTAGAACTCCGGGTTCTGTAGGTGTAGTGTCATCTCCTTTGTGAGAGGGTTGGCCTCTGTTTATATAGTGACTGTCTGGTCTCCCAATCCTGGTAAGAGTAGGAGTCCGAGTGTAACTCTGATGTAAACCCTAGAAAAGTTAGGGCGGTGGTGAGCTGTCTTACCTGCATCCGAATAGGAAGGTGATCTGAACAGGAAAGTCACTTTAAGTAGGAAAGTGACCAGGAACAGGAAAGTGACTTCAAATAGGAGATTGAACAGGAACAGGAAAATGATCAGTAGGGGCCGTGGGTTCTGAACTCGCCTATAGGCCCAAGAAGTGAGCTGGAACTGAGAGGCCCACGCCCAGATGGTTTGGGCCGGCCGTATCTCGTATCAAATGGAAATAATTTGGTTTGGGCCTCTTTAGGACTGGGCCTGGTCTTTTCTTCACTGGTGGTCCTGTTTTCATATTTGGGCCAAGGACGATTTTTGGCCCTAACAGTATCCTTCTGATAAATGTTACCTCATACTTCTCGTATTAAGCTTACTGAGACAAGTATAGGATGACGATGGGTCCACGGCATACTTTTTTTGGGTTAAAAATGGGCTTAATGATCATAAGCTTTAGGTTTTACATCATTGGCCAGATATGATCCAAATAGTAAGAGACTATTTCGGCCATCTTGTACTACATAACGGGCCAGGGAACAGAATAGCCCAACCTATGATCTGACGAGTATTCTATCAGAGACTTGCATTAGAGGAGAAGTACACCAAGACACCCAGATCTCATATGAGCGTATACTGTATGCATCATGCCCCATATAAAGGGAATTTTACGTTACAAGATATTTTGCTTGTTTTCTCATTTCTTTATATTTGAAGAAAATAAAAATTTCAAGACACAGAATTAACAAGTCTTTCATAATTAACTCTGACACTAATTCATATAACACCTTAACTAAACATAGAGTACGTCCTTTTTCTTATCAAAGTTGTACAACCTAAGAACATATAACTAACCAACAGTTGAAAGTAACTTCTGATTTTTAATTTTTATTTTACACATAGCAACTACAGTATAAAGAATACGTGCAAATTTATGATACAATATATAATATTTCTAAAAGAATAAGAGAGACCTCTGGTCTGAATGCTTCAACCAGAGTCAATCACACCATATGAAGTGATCATATATTGTCTCACTAATAGAGTCAAATGAGCCTCTTAGAACTTGTACGAGTACAAACTCTTGCATCCGGATAAATTTTGCCAGGTCTACATAAATAGCCTTTGCTAGGGGCACAATGGCTGTCTTGTGAGCATATACACAACCCTTCAAGTGCACACCCATCCTTGACTATATTCACCCCACCTTTCAATCCGAGAACTTGGTCTGTCCACTCACTAGAGAAGAGCCCTAAAGAATCGTACTTCTCTTTAATCTTTATGAATTTTCCAGCATTTTTGTATTTTTTGATCACCCCATCAAACACTAGGTTCCTATTTTTTCCCCAATGAGGCAGTCCTCCATACTTGAACACCGCCATTTGTTCAATTTCTTCAAGAATATCTTCATAAAGCCTAGGAGTCATTGGGTCTTTGCTTCGGTAATATGAGATATCGAAATCTATTGAATCCTCTTGTTTTCCCAAGTAAGCACTCGAAGCTTTAACATAGCGCATCAGAATTCCATTGTAAAGCTCTAGACCACACAATGATTTGGGCTCCAAAGCAACTAGTTTTTGTACATCTTCAATGAAGTTTTTGACGACAGACAACCCAATAGTGAAAGTAGTTTGGTGAAAGAACTCGCCCTTGATTCTAGAGTCCCAAGAGCAAGCTGTGATTAACTTATCTTGGGGACTATCAAGGCAGGTCCCCGATGATTGAAGACGATTCTGAAATCCAATTACAGGATAGCCCGTAAAGAGGATACCTACTCCAAAATGAGAACAAACATTATTACACGGAATAATAGTATTACATATGATGTCAATAATGTAGCTTTAAGTAGAAACAATCAATACCATTATTGGTTAAGCCAAACGCACTGTTCCTTAGCGTTGAAGTCACAAGCATTGCCCCAATGCACTTGCCATTAGCATCATTCGTTGATTCTTGATTCTCCTCTGATCAAATAACAATCATAACAAACCAAACAGATTAAAGAACACCGTACGTTTATATTTTAGAAAAATTAATCAGTTGGAACCAGATTGAAAGTAAAATTGAATAAAAGCGAGCAAACCTGTAGTTCTGATGATTGCCAATGTAGCTGTAAGGGTGGAGCGGAATGGAGTGTAATCATAGAGACCATTGCCAGATGTGTTAGAGGAAACACGGTCATCAATTCGATAGATTGCCTTGCGTTGACTCGGGTACCAATTAATGTCTGCGAACTCATGTTGCCTTCCAAAACGAACCGCTTCATCAGCTAAGTCTAAATCATCCTTCATCTGGTAGGTGATGGATCGCTTAAATAGGGGTTGCAACTTCAAAGTTACCTGCACAAATTAAATACAATTATACATTAATATTTCTTTTTCTCTTTAGTTTCTTATATTTTTCGGAAAATTTTTCCTTTAATTTTTAATTATTAATTTTTCAACTAAATAAAATATTTGGTTTACCCTTGTACCACTACTTTTAACCAATGGAAACGTTATTTAAGAGGAATGACTTTAATTTCCTAAAATAAACTTGAGGGGATTAAACCGCAAGGACAACACTGTAATAAGCCCTATAATTTATAGACTATATAATAGTTGCCCATAATAATATATAATAAGAATGATACATTTTACGCATTGAGCTAGCTTGTACTATATAATGTGTACACTAGAATACACTTCAGCAAACAGTGATAGGTTGTAAATAAAATATAANCAGTTTGTATAATAGTGCCCACTTGTTTGTTTGACTGTGAGAGTGATAATTATTAATTAATACTGTGTCTATGTAACAGAGAGGAGCCAGTGATTCTGACGTCTAATTGCAAATAGCTAAGGTTCAATACAGAGGATCTATGGTGATATCTAAATGCATTAAAGGTTGATGTTTTTTTGGGGCATGGGTCATGGGAAGACACTAATGGTGATATTGTCAGATCGTACGTCGATAAACTATTAATATATCTATATTATATAGAAAATGAAATATGAAAATTCACTACACTTGTAGTATATATTTCTACAATTTAAATAGAACATGCAGTGACGGAGCTAGTGGCTGTCTGTATAAGTGAAATCGAGAACATTGAAAGCCACGAGAGAGAGAGAGAGACACGTTGTGGGTGCACAGGAACCAAAACTGCTTTAACGTGGAGCAATGGTTCATTCCTTATCTTTATTTCTTTTTCTGGTTAAAAAGGCTTTGAGAGTTTCTCGCTTTCTCTTAAAACCATGGTTATCAAATTATATCGAAAATCTGATTTTTTGAATCGTATATCACGTATCGTATCATATCGTAAGATACGTCTTTTTTAAAAAACATAATAAAATAATCAAAATTTTCTAAAAATTAATATAATCCCCGAGATTAATTAAAAAATTTTGTGGTATTATTGACTTTAAATTACGGTATTACCATGGTTATCAAATCGTGTATCGAAAACCTAATTTTTTGAATCGCGTATCGTATCGTATCGTATCGTAAGATACACCTTTTTCAAAAAAATTAATAAAATAATTAAAATTTTCTAAAAATTAATATAATCCCCAAGATTAATTAAAGAATTTTGTAGTATTATTGACTTTAAATTACGGTATTATATAATCAAAATTAATCACAAAATTCCAAGATCAATGTCAATATCTATATCTCCACTTATATTATTATTATCATGTAAAATGGGCAATACATATTCACAACAACATATATAAAAAAGATACCATTACCCAAAATAAAAATCTAACCTAGATAAAAGACTTATATATATATTAATATATTATATATTCATTACAAATTAATCAACACCTTCATGGTATCATTACCCAAAATAAAAAGTGCTAATACTAGCTAGGATACTAATGTTACAAGGATTATATATATATTATATATATATATATATATAATATAATATATATATATATATATATATAATAATAGATAGAGAGGAGAGAGAGAGAGGAAGAGAGAGAGAGAGAGAGAGAGAGAGAGAGAGAGAGATGTGATAGCTTGTAATTAGTCAGTTCACAACGGGTCTTATATAAGTCTTCAATGATTCCATTAATTAATTAACAGCTAAAACGTTAAGATTGTGAGAGAATTGTTGATGTAGTATTATTTAATATATCTCAGACTCTAGATACTGTAGCATATCCTTCGGTAAACTATTGCTATAACCTGCCAATGAATGAGTGAGCATTGCATCGTACTTCTGTGATGGCAGATAATTACATATCAATACTGAGGATGCAATAAAAATTATGTATAAATATATTAATTCCGAGTATATAATATTGATGAAGATAAAAAATTAATACATAAACTTATCCTTACGTAAACGGAATAACTCAACAGCAAGATAGATATATTTGAAATGCAATCATTTTTATATTTTGTCATCTGACATTGTTCGTAATTTTCTTATTTGACCTATTCTTTCTCTTCCTAATCGTCTTTTTTGACTAATTCTGCTTAATAATCTCTTCCTACGTCTTGAATCTAGCTGATTCAGTTGCAATAGATAATTATTTTATTTTCAACGAATATTCGTTTCCTCGGCTTTTCTAAATAGCAAAGGTGTTGCCCTTATAGGGTTGCTCTGTCCATCTCTCGTACATATAAATATCTTTATGATGTTTCACCATTATATGGTTTGGCTTGACTTGAGATACGTTGTTCTAGAAATTGAAGGTGGAGAAGTATACATAGACATGATGTAATTTTGTTTCAGCCAACAGCATGAAGAAACATATTGATACATTTTGGTTTAGCTGTCAGGCGGATTAGTACAATGTGAGCAAGGAGACAAGATTTATTAGTTGACTTCATGTTGATCTCCATTTTAGTAATGCGATCCAAGTCATCAATTTTATCGATATTTGATAAACACATTGCCAAGGAAGTGCTTGAAGTCAATCGTGCCATCTAATTATATCAGTTCACTTAGACATCAAACTTTCAATTCTTTTGTTTATATTCCAATTTCAGGTGAGGTTTAAAATTTCCATGGGGGAATTTCAAATAAGAGAATTACAGAATAATTAAGGCCTAAAAACCTTCACAACCATTGAGTTCATTAAAATAGGTTCACAAAATTATTGATAAAATGATTGCCAGCGAAGCATTGCTTGGAAATTACTCGTTTAATGTCTGATGATAAGGTTACCAAAATCATAGAAAGTCTTGGATCACACTGCATCTATGACAAATTAACTATAGCTTTTGTCCTTGAATTTTGTCTTCTTACTAGACCTCCTTACATGACAAACGAGGGTCCAGACTTTTGTTTTCAAAATAATCACACACTAAAACAGTAAACATTATTTAGGTGTTCTCAGTACTTTTTGAAAGCTATATGATACCTGGTTTATGATCTTTGAAATGATCCTCTGACTCTGATACTCATAGTTAATTCAATATTTTTTTTTATTAAAGTCTTGTTTTCTATTCTACCCCGCCCCATTGTGAAATACGCATGTTGTTCAAAGTTCAGACAGGCCAGTTGGTTTTTTATTCGTGTATATCTTCATTGGATATGTGTTAGTAATTTGTCATTTGTGATAGGAAGTCTAATTCATTCCCTTTTTAGTCAATATATTCATAACGTAAGCAAGATGATTCAAATAAAATTTTATATGCCACATTCACACCTTGTAAAGTTTTCTTTTGTTAAATATAGTTTTGTATTCTTGGACACAACTCCCTTTTTAGGACTACCAGTGTCACAATCCTAAAAAAACTGTGACAATTTTATTGCACAAACAAGAGATCAAAATTAAATAAACCACAAAGTCTCGAAGAAAAAAAACAAAGAATCCACAAATTCTCAAAGAAAATAAGAATACAAAGATGGAGATGGAGGATATGAGAGAAAAACTCTATTATATTGCTCTTAATTCAAAGTAATGTTTAAAATATGAAATAACCTAAGACAAATTACCTTTATATAAGAGTTTAATGTAGATTTAGAGTACAGATCCATCCATATCATTATGTATGTTTGTTGATTAATTAACAAGCAATATAATCCTAGTTCTTTTTTGTAAGAACATTTAGAAACTTTTGAAAACAAATCTCAAACATATTCTTTAATGCTTTAGGTCAACTTCTCGAAAGATTTTTGGATATTCTTTGCTAATATGTTCTGGTTTCTTTGGACCCAACTCCCAATTGCTTTTTGGGGCTACCAAGACCAGATCCAACACTGTTGGAGATGGTTGTGATTTTAGTTATAAACGAGGTTAGGTCCTCGAATTCAACAATTTTATAAACTTAAATTTGACATCAATGTATAACTGTCTTCTTTAAGATTTACAGTGTCGTGTTATTCAATTAAATCATCTGAGATACGGTTAAAATATTTGCTAGATTTGAATTCAATAAATTTGACTAATAACTAATCATTCTAATGTTGAATTGTTAAGATATTTCAATCCAATCTAATATATAACTTTTGTGGGGTTATTAAAATGGGATGCATCAATATGTGAATTAATAGAATTCAATTGAAATTAAATTCATTTTTTATTGAATCAATCCCCTAACTACGTATTGGTGGAGGTCAATTGTGAAGCCAGGGTGCAATCAGATTCATAGTCCCTGGCAAATGTGTTAGAGATAGAGAGTGTGTATTAGTGAAGTTTTTCCCAGTTATCTTTATCCTCAAGTTGCCAAGAAAAATACGAGATAGGAAATAAAAATGTAAAATGGTATTGCCATCTAAGTTGGTAGGTTAGTAAATACATTACGGAGATAAGTTATTATACCATTTTCGTAAACGCAAGTGAAACCGAAGTTTCTCGTTATTACTATCTTGACGTTGATTTGTGATTTTGGAGAAACCAATCATATCTGCCCAACACGAAAGGAACCTAGCGGAAAAGGGTTGATGATAGTAGGTGGACCGACATCAACTTGCAGTCAATTACTTCATTGTTTGGTACTTTGAAATTCAAAATATCTTCTCTTCTCCGCAGTAATTTATATTTTTCTACAAGAAATTTAGTTTTTCTCAACCCATCTTTATATAAATTCATTATTAATTATAAAATATGAATGTTAAATTTCAATCTTTCGATAGAAGCTTTATGAAGACTTTATTATTTATTCAATATACATCTTGAATAATTTTTGCTGGTGTATTTGATTAAATTGGTAACATATTAATTGAACCAAGTTTATAAGATGCATTAAATTAAATTAATAATTTGAACAGATTAAGGAGTTTTAGTTTCCTGGCTCTCTCACAGCCCATAACTTTTGATCTTATTCTTGATTGCAGGTGCATGTGTGCCCGATAGCCACACAAATTGAAATACTTCAAGTACAAGTAATC